GTATATAAATCATATTAAGCATCTAATATATATATATATATGTATATATATATATATGTACACACATACATACATACATACATACATATATATATATATATATATATATATATATATATATATATATATATATAACTGAAAATGGTGGCATTCACAATTTTTATACAGACCAAGGTTGTCGAATCTAGTTAACAAAGTTACCTCATTAGCTAAGGCATGAAAGTAAAGCTAGTGATGCAGGACCATGTTGTCCTAAGTGGCAGTATTTTAATTGAAATTTAGTATTCGGATATTGCAAAAATACAAGCAACATATATGATAATGAGTTTATATATATATATATATATATATATATATATATATATATATATATATATATATATATATTAAATATAGTCTTTCGGTAAATAATTGTTTTGTTCTATATTATCTTGTTTAATCCTTGAATAACATTGGTTATTCTAAATGTCCACATTCATTAATAGTTGTGGGAGCGTCTATAGGTAAGACTAATATTAATGTATTTGTTGATTTTCATGGTGATGAAAATAGCAAAAGCTACTACCAACTTCATAGGAACTTGATTAGGAAAATAAGTATTGGACCTGACTTGCATCAAAATCACTTTGTGGATTGTAAGCAAAAGTGAGTTTTTATAAAAGGTCGTATCTTTGTTTTCTTCTACCTAAGATACATATTCGGGACATGCGTGGATGAGTTGTACTTTCACATGGTTTAACGTGGTTCCGTGAAAGGAAATTATAAGTGCCATTGTCGGGTGCGACATGAACTATATTACGGGAATATGTAGTCAAGATGATATTTGTTAGTCTTATTCATTGAGAGTTAGACATCTTAGGCGTTACTAAAATTTGAATGCCATATTAGATTGATCGTGATCCATATTTCTTGTTTGAAATGATATTTGAGACAAACAAATAAATGATGCTACACATTTAGTAACATTTGTAGGTTTGAGCTCCTAGAATTAGTTCTTAATAAGATGACACCATTCCTATGTTGTTAAGGGAAATATCATTTTGTTAGACACCAACTACTGTCTATGCCAGTCTGTAATGAATCTTATGCAAGTAGGAGATTGTGAGATTTTTGGATCTATATACCCAAGAATCATTATTGAGCGATGTTGCTAAAAGCATATGATCCTATAGGGTCACACATTTACCAAGTTGACATATTTTAGATATTTATTTTGAATATGATTATTAATAAATAATATCAACTATTGTACTTAATCAAGGGATAATTATTGTTTTGTGAATATAATGATTGAAGAGTGTATAACCAGTTATTATATCGTATGGTATGGGTTAATAAGTCATGTAAAAAGTTTTGGACACTTTTGTTAAGCATGGACTTACTAGTCATTTGTTCTTTAATATAAAGAAACTTTCTTGTCCTTTTTTGTCTCTTTTGGAGACCATAAAGTTGAAATATGCAAGAGGTATGGATGTGGCTCGTTAACCTCAATCTCTTGTGTCACCTTCTTCTAATCTAGAGTATTAATTTACAGTATTATATAGCCTTTATCCTTACCTTTCAATGGATATACAATAGAGAATCGTTTTATGAAATATGGATAGTTTTTTATTTTCCACTAAGAAACTATGGGCTTCGCTCCATCTGTACAGTCTTTATTTTGAAGCTAGTCACTATATTTTTGAGCTTGATCTTTATGTCTTCCTTTAGTGCTTATTTTATTAAGAACTTAAATCCTTAAAGAACAAATCATAGAAGACGAAACTAGCATTTTCATGTGCCTTATTCTTGATGGTAGATACTTGTAGAGAAGATCATCTCCTTTGATCTTTCTATCTTCATCAACACCCCAAAACCAAGTGGGTTCAAACGATCCAAAGGTTATCATTTGATAACACCATATGGTAGACTGTAATATCATTCTAAAATATATAAGTGGATCCTTGATGGTTTGCTTTTTATATAAAGTCAAAAATAATATTCTTATTTTTAAGATTCTGTTGCCCCATTTTTTTTGAAAAACACTTTTATAGTTTGTATCAAAACCCATCATTATTCTACATAAATTTTTTTGGCTATGTAGCATAGTATATCACACACATCAATCCATTCTCACCATACATTCTTCTTTACAATTTTATGATTCAATGTATGAAACCAAACTCGGATGAGAATTCAAAAACTCTATGTCGATGGCGATATCACATACAGTGATACATTACATGCATGTATCCATTCTCTCCCAACAAATATTCTATTAAAGAAGTTAATGATTTACTGTATCTACCACACACTGATAAAACTTTGAAATTCTTTGTCGATGGGTACATTTAAGCACCAAGATGTATTACATGCATCCTACCATTCTTATTCCTTTTCTTCTAATAAAAGAAGTTCGTGATTTCACATACCAACCATATGCAGATGAGAATTCGCAATACAATATCAGTAAATGATATTACAAGCATATAGTATCAGGTGATATCATAATATCACTCGTTTGAGAACTGCAACTTTGATTCACTGATAATGTAAATCTGATGTGTCGACCACTTTCGCTAAAAATTCATGTCGCTGATGCTATGCCTTACAGACACATAGTTCTCTAATCTCAATGGTAACTTTTAGTTGACTATTAACATCATGTTGAAATATGAGATTTTTACGACCCACTTTCCTCCCATAATGATTACACAAAAAGATAGAAAATCTTCTGATTAAATATGATAACTCTCTCTCCTAGGTCACTGTAACGTCCCGATTCCAGGTATAAATTTAATTAAAGAATAATTGGTCTTATGTCCTACTCGGCGAGTTGGTTGCCGTACTCGCCGAGTAGCAGTGGGAATGGAACGCGTATTTAGTGACCTACTCGGCGAGTCCACCAAGGGACTCGGCGAGTAGGAGCTGGCAGATGAAACCCTAAATTCTTGGGTTTTACACTCTATTTAAAGGATCATTGGCCTCCACTAGCCTCCCCTTATGCCTCTTGTCCCTCTCAAACCCTAAAACGTGTGTGTGTGTGTGTGTGTGTTCTTTGGTGTCCAAGCTTGAAGGAGTAACTTTGGAAGGAAACATTTGAAGAAGAAAGGAAAAGCAAGGCCAGGAACTCGGGAAAACTAAGGGATTGCATCAGACATCACTCTCTGGAAGGTAATAGGCTATTCCCTTAAGATCTTTTCACTTTGAACCTCCCCTGGATGGGTGTTATGAAGGACTCTCCATGTTTAAGCTAAGATCTGAAGTTATAACTTCAGATCTCGACTTCCCTTGACCTCTAGATCCATAAAGTTCCTAGATTGTGCAAGGTTGAAACTCTCCCAAGGTGTAAAACTCCATTAAAGAGCTTATATTGATCATTTCGAGCCTTTAGAGCCTTGCATGTACGTAAAGATTGCAACTTTATGTAATAAACATGCCTTAGGAGCTTGGATCTATAACTTGGGGCCTTGCCATGGCTTAAAGAGTATCTGCATGGATTAAGATCTGCATTGACTCGGCGACTTGATTAAGGGACTCAGCGAGTCTGTTGAAGATGGCCATAAACTCGACAAGTTGGATGAACAACTCGGCGAGTTCGTTGAAGATTGCCTTGAACTCGGCGAGTGTTAGAAAACTCGGCGAGTTGGCTAGGGTTTCTCCTAAAATCTTCGCCGTATATGAACTCGATGAGTGAAAAGGAGACCTCGGCGAGCAAGTCGAGGATTCCACGACTTCTCGAACTCAAGAAGAAATCGGCGAGTCGGAGACCTGCACTCGACGAGTCGAGTCAACATGGACTGTTGACTGTGACTGTGGACTTTCACTTGGACCAAGGGGTTGACCAATTGAATCCTGTGGGTTTCTGGGATTGGGAGATTTATGAAAAAGGTTGTGTGATACTTTTAGGTGGTGAAGTTCGTGTTGGACCCGGGAGTTGAGCTTTCTTATTTCCGATAAAAGTTGCGTGGTGAGTTATCCTCACTACACTAAGGGGTCTAAGGCACCAAGGCCGGCCCATTGGATTTGATATCCTAGTAGTTATTGTTATGTAGAGTTTGAGTTAGTAATGCATCCCAGTTGATGTGCTAGTTGGGTAGATATGTAAGACTGCCTGTGATACTGATTGTTTACCTGTGTTTGTATTTATCTGTCACATGTCGACATGTTATGTCGGGTGGGTTGAGGTTGACTGTTACGTGCGGTAGCCAACAAACCCGAGAGCATTCTAGATATGAGTTGAGGGCCCGGTAGGCACTCTAGACTCGTACTACGGGCTCGATGGCATTCCAGATACGAGCTGAGGGCCCGGTAGGCATTCCAGACTCGCACTGAGGGCCCAGGTATAGTCCAGCTTGTAAAGCTGTGGACCTAGTGCACGCTGTTCTATTTTGATTGCTATGATATGCTAATGTTGATATTTCTATGTGAACTGTATGTGTATCGGTATTTTGGGGGTAACTCACTAAGCACTCGGGCTTACAGTTTCAGTTTATTGTTTCAGGTACCTCAGGGGATCGCGGCAAGGCTAAGGCTTGATCGTACAGCTCCTCCTATTGTGTTATGTTTCTGGGAAAACTCTTATATAAATGTATTTTGAAAACAAAGTTGTAATGTTTTGATGAATTTGACGTGTTTTTAAAAATTTAAATTTGGCTTAAATATTGAGTCTTACAGTCACTTTTACAAATAATCCAAGCAATCAATGTTTTATCACAAAGGCTCTTTCCATAATCAACTTCTCTGTTACAAGTTTTTCAAGATTTCATCATGTCAAAGGTTCTATATGTCTTTGCTCCTAATGCTAATGTGTTCAAAGGCCCCCATGCTCATGATACTACGATAATTATCCAAGAAAAAAACGTTGTCTTCTCAACTATCATCCGAAATCAACACAAGAACTTAGGGATTGGTGATTTTGTTAACTACACTATGGTTGTTATCAATCCAGCCTCTTTTCGACTTGTTCTATGTCTTCCTAAAACAGACAAGTACTCTAAAGTCTTTCTGAGGAAAAATACATGTCTCTTCGACCCAAACTAGGGTATAATTACTCACTTCATTGTACTACTCGTGATCCAAATAACGATGCCCTTCTTCAATGCCATTGTGTTGGGTATAAGTATTTTACAGGGGTGATTGGCAAGTGTCTTGGACATAAAACTCATAGTTTGTACCAGTTGAACCCATTTGAGCAGAGGATTGTGTATGTCATGACCTGCAAAAAAGGATTAGTAGTTCCTCAACTTTTCTTTGATCAACTGGTTGAATGCATAACTGGGAACAAAAGGCCAACCTACGTTCCATATCCACTTCGGCTTGCATTAATTATGACTCCTACTAAAGAGGGTTACAATGTCAACCATATAGTTTCCATAGAACTTCCATTTCTCTCATCTAAGACTATCAATGCCAAATCCATTAAAGAAGATACACATCTTGGTCAGCGTATGGAGGGTTGGATTGTAAATCCTAATGTATTTTAATCCTCTGACTCAGATGAAGTTGATGATGAGGGAAATGATGAAGATGAAGAGGATGATGTTGATGATGAATAAGATAAATATGATATTGATGTTGACACATCAGACACTGATATAGGAGAGGCTATTACTCAGGGAAGGACCATTAAATCTCTCCTAATATTAAAATAGCACATTTATTTTTGTTCGTCCTCTCAATCATCAAGAACTCTCAATCATCAAGACACTGATCCAATGTTTCAAGCTGCAAATTCTGTAACACTAGCATATCCTCCTCCTCAAGTTGCATTGTATTTCCATTACAAACACCTCTACAACCTACTTCTACCTTTCAGGGGAAGCCTAGTACCAAACTCTGAATGACTATGATCTATCAGCTTTCCTTATTGGCTTGAATGACTCAGTCACTGAGAGAAAGACTGACCATTGTTGAGAGTGATGTGGCTGACACCGAATGTATAGTGGCTTTACATGATAATGATGTTGAAACGATGAAAAACATTCCACCTAGCTCTATAGGCAGTGATCAACCACCTCCACCACCACCACCACCATTTGGTAATAATCCTCCAGCACTGCCATCACATCCCCTCTTCACACTCTCTCTCCACCTCATAACACTCCTCTCCAAACTAATGATGTTAAAAGGGGGAGAATCAAGAATTGATGATGATGATTGAAATTCCATTACAACCTAAAAAGTTTGAATCTGAAATGGATGATAATCAAGGAAAAATGGTTGTTATTCAGTCTGAACCAGTGAGTGATAATCAGCCTAAGCCAAAAGTTGATGATGATAACTCTAAGACTAATAATGTTGATTATGAAGAGTTTATTGATATGGAATTTATGGTACAATCTACTATTCCTATAAGTTTCTTTTATTCTGATGCATCTTCTATGGTTAAGATTCCTCAGGGAACTTATAATGACATTGAGTCTGACGATGATCGGCTCAATCCAATAAAAATAAATGCTTCCTTATTAGGGATGGAAAAAGACATTGAGACTGTAAGTTCCTCAGAACTGGCAAATAATCATTGAAGAGGTTAAAGAAATCATGATGGAGCATAATGCTTAAGTTCGAAGAAAAAGAGATGAACATCAATTCATCAAACTTGTTCAAATCCTTGCCTTAGCTAATGAAAGGATTAACTTTCAAAATACAAATATTTATCGATGTTGCCAAATGAAATAGAGTTTCTTAGCTAAATGATTGAATTGATAGGAAGAAATTTGGAGATGATATAGCTTAAATATATAAACCTAATCCTATCATCATGGCAAGGTGCTCCAAACCCAAGGATTAATCTCTCAAAATTCATCTAGTCAGGAAGAAGGAAGAGTATGGATTTACTGAACTTGTTTTTTCTCAAGAGTTAGGTAAATATGGATACAAAGAGTGGATCCAGATTTAGGAGATAATTTTAAAACATAAAGGTGTTCATGATCAGGGGGTAAAATTTGCAATTCAGCAATTTGTTAACAAAGTCAATAAGTTGAACTTAGTGTCATCAGTTGGTCCATGTCAACCATCCACCTCAAATAGAACAAGCAAGCCTAACATGTCCAAGTATACCATGTTCCTCCTGCGGTATGACATAATCTACATAAACAACAAGCTGCTAGAAGCTGTTGAGCTAGTTCGACACATGTTCATTTGACAAGCAGAACATGGTATCTTCTACCTTGATAGTCAAAATCAAATGTGCTTTCAATGCACTGGCGATCTTTTTACTACTCCCACTAAGAATTTGTTCCAACTCCGTTTCAATGGTATATATCATAAAAAATTAGAACGATTCTGACATGTGTTTATTTCTAATGAACTGTGTAAGCGTTTGACTGATCTTCATCTTGATTACCTCGTGTGGTTGAAGCCTGAGATTTTGACTAAAGCTAAAAAGTTCTATAATTATAATTTTAGTGACTCCTTTTGAAGGGTCTAGTTTATGGTTTGGGCTAGGCTATCTAATGTATAGGTCTTATTGAGTCTTTTATCATGTAATTGTGTTGTATGGATGAGTTTACGACCAGAGGTCTGTTTATAGTCGTAAACAGGTTTACGACCGTAAACAGGTTTACGGCCGTAAACAGGTTTACGGCCGTAAACAGGTTTACGGCCGTAAACAGGTTTACGGCCGTAAACAGGTTTACGGCCGTAAACAGGTTTACCACCGTAAACCTGTTTACGCCCAGTCTTCCCATATATATATATATAGGGTGCATCAGAGTCTATCAGAGGTTCATTTTCAGTTCACAAGTATTTACAACCAGTCCAAGTAATACCTAACATTTCTTTGATTTAAATGTGTGCAAGTCTTGGTTCAATCTTCTTCTACTCCATTCTAATCTTGTTTGATTGTTAGATTGCTTGATCACTAGTTAAGATCCTTGTTTCAAGTGCCTTACAATTGGCATCAAAGCAAAATCTGGTGTCAAACACTCTTCAATCCTGTTCACAGTCAAAAGTAGCTTTGTTTCATCATTGTTCGAGGCCTAATTTGGTGTTTTCATAGCAAAAAGGAGATCAGATCTGCAAAAATTCATGTTTTTCATCAATTTCTAGGTATTTACGGTCAAGAGTTCATGGCTATAAACTCCTATTCACGACCGTAAATAGGCAATCTTCATTGACCGTAAACTCCTCCTCAACCGTAAATTGATAATCTTCATTGATTGTAAACAGTGTATCTTCAATAATCGCAAACAGGCAATCTTAATTGAACGTAAACACCCCAACCATAAACTCAACCGTAAACTGTGTTTCCGTCCGTAATCTTGTGACCGTAAACTACCTTCTTGGTGTTTTAGTGAATTTTTTAAGGGCATTTTCAATTTAAAAAAAAACATATATGAAAAAAAAACAAAAAAATGGATTCTCAAAAACAAGCGATTCATCATGAATTGGATTCAATCATGGGAACAACCACTCGCATTCTGTCACACCCCAAAACCGAGAACGCCGGAAACGTTCTCGGGCAAAGGACGTCATATAAAGTATCACAACACAGTAAAATTAAAAAAGCAAAAACCATCATCCATTGCATTAAATATTTAATTTTAATACAAGTGTGTTCTTTATAGTTATAGACACCAAAAATAATGTAAATCAAAATAATAAAATGAGTCTTGGATGCGCTCCATCTTCTCAAAAGCTGGCATCGGTACCTGTCTACTGATGACCTGAGAATACAAGTTATTTTGAAAGAGTTTATCAGCATTAAGCTGGTGAGTTCATAAGTATTTTAGTGTCGGTGTTTGTATCAAAACTTTTGAACATAGTTTTAAACAATAGTTTGTAAACATTGGTGATAAAAGTATGTGAATGTTTGTACGTGTTTGTAAAAGTTTAAATCTCTCAGAAAAAACCTATATTTTCTATTAAAAGTAGCCTTCTACCAAGGCGTAACTGTTTTGTATGTTAGTTTATCGTAAAAGTGTGTAATTTTCCAAAGTGTAACTATCATTATCAAAATATAGTTTGTACATCATTGTTTAAGTGAAATAATCACTAAATGTATATAAAGGCAAAATTACTATACTACTATAGTTTTGGAATATAGGAGCTACTGCTGTACTAACTACCTTAAACCGAATTTATATTAAGGTATCATGTGATTAGTTGTACCATACTATCGACTGCATAAACAACGACAAATGTAGGTCATAAAATGACATGACGTTTAGCACCCGTAGACCTGCAGGTCCGACTGTAGCTAGCAGCAAGATGTAGAATAGTCAATCCAGTATAGATCTATACGCAAACTCATGCTCTCCCTCCAAGAGACTCTGCAAACAACTCGGACCATGACATTTAAGGCGTGCTCCGATACAGTGGATCATAATTATGTAAATGTATATATGTATATGTAATGTATTGTTACTCATTCTAGTATTTTTGTATATGTTCTCATAGTATAGTTGTATATGTTCTCCTTATAGTATAGTTGTATATGTTCTCATAGTATAGTTGTATATGTTCTCATAGTATAGTTGTATATGTTCTCCTTCTAGTATAGTTGTATATGTACTCATAGTATAGTTGTATATGTACTCATAGTATAGTTGTATATGTTCTCATAGTAATAAGTATTGACTCATGAATGAACTGACTCATTGATCTAACAATAGTATGTGTATGATCATGTATTACCCCGATGGTAACTTACAAATGTTGTACTTAGTATGTATCGACATGGAAGAACTTTTATGACCATATATGTACACATGATATGTAATTAATATTGAAACGACCTTCGGACGGCTACCCGATATCCTACCAGACCACATCCAAATCGAGGAAAAGAAAATAAGGCGTGCAGCTTTCCTAAGCCTTTTAAACATTGATTATATAAGTATTCATATATGGGCATGCAATTTGTAATAAGCATAACAAAGTTTAAGTAAAAGTGTTTTATAAGTAAAATAGTTTGTAAAGCAGTTGGAAGTAAAACTGATTTGATAAACAGTTTGAATATTAGTAAAATCATTGGTTTTGTAGTTATTAATCACATGTGATTGATGTAATAACTATAAGTATTCAACTTGTATCCCCCCTCCCCCATAAAAGCATTTAAAACATTTAAAAGTATTTCAAAGGTTAATTAAAGGGGTATGAACTCACTTGTGGTGAGTGGATTGGATTTAAGTGTCGGTTACGGTGCTAGGTGACAAATGGAGACTTGTACACACGCACGAGCCTAGTTATCATATAATGAATATATATAAATAACTAATTATCCTCATTATAACTAATAAAATGAGTTGGGACACTTTAGAACATGAAAAAACTTTGTTTCAAGTGTTAAAGATTACAAGGATTGCATCCAAGTCCTAGTAGGGCAAAACTAGGGTGTTCGGGGTCCAAGGGTGAACTCCTTGGGAGTTTATGGTCTAAATGACCTTTACCCTAGGATTTTACGGTAGTAAACTCAATGGTTTACAGTCTAAACTCCATTTCTTGCAACCATGAGTTGTTTGGAGGTTTAACAAGTCCTTTGAAGAAATCTTGCTAAGTGGTTAAGTCTTTGGAATGGACTACGGCCACAAACCACCCTCCTTGAGGTGTTTACGGCCTAAGGGTATTTTCCCTTGGGTTTCCTACCTTAAACCCCTATGGGAAAGGAATATTGCCTTTATTTCAAGTCCTTATCACAACTAGGTAAATGTCTAAGTTAGCTTTTAGGGCTAAGAAAGGAAAATGGCTCATTTAAACACCTTATTGGGTGTTTACGGTTTTGGAATGTCCTTAGACCGTAAAAACCTATAAATGGTGATGTTTGGTGTTTTTCAAAGCTTAAACATATCAATGGAAGGTTTAAATATGTTAAGGTAAGTCTTAAAGTCCAAACTATGGCTAAACATGGGACTTAGGTCAATTTTGGGGGACTTTATGGTGTTTACGGCCCAAGCATCATCTTGGACCGTGAACACCTCAAACATGGTGTTCTTGACCAATTTTCTTGGTGATTAATTGATATACTGGCTTACAAGTACTCAAGGATGGAAGCACTTACTATTAGAAGGCTTGATTTGAGCTGAAAAGCCAAGAACACTTAGTGTGTGTTCTTGGTGTTCTTGGTGTTTTTGAAAATCTCGACAAAAACCGGAAATGAATGGATGAATAGATGCATAAACACTAGATTAAGTGTTTTACTAACTTGAAATGGTTAGAACACTTACAAGATCGAATATTTGGAATTAAATGTTGGATGATAGTTGAGAGAGTTTTTGGAGTTTAGTCTTTTGACTATTTGGGGAGTAAACACAATGACTAGTTTATGGGGGAGTAAACTCATACATAGGCATGAGTTTACGGTTTTTTGGAGATTCCTAAACCAAAAACATAAAAGTTTAGTCGGGTGATTCTAATATGCTAAGTGTTTGCGGTTTTCAAAATAAAAACCCGAGACGACACTTTCTTTCACCCGTTCGTTTTAAAATAATATTAAAATAATCAAATGAACTTTATATTCTTAAAAATAAGAAATAATGATATTCATTTATGAAACGAAGTGGTTGACTTTTAGGGTTTGACCAAA